ATATATATATATATATATATATATTATATTATATATATATATATATATATATATATATATATATATATATAATATATATATATATATAATATAGCCTACATACATATGTACTGTGCAGATACAACCTTGTACTTGTGAGGTAGCAATGTTGGGCCACTTGGTTGGAGTGTAAAAGTAAAAGTTCTGAGAGTGACATGAGCTCAGAGAACAGAATCTGCGGGTAAAGATTCCTCGGAGTCGTGAACAAATCCCTGACTTAACTATTCCTCTTTTTCTTCTTGTGTTTTTCTGGTTTCTTTTTTCTAGAAAACAAAACATTTTGTGCATCGTGTCAATACATGTTTACGTCGTAACCTACAAATGTCGGCATCAAAATCAAGTGGGTGGGTGGCGGGTGCTCTGGTGTGGTTTGCTTCTTCTTTCCTATCAAACATCTATCGTCCTTATCTCCCCTCCTTCTTTTTTATGTTTGTTACTCTCTTGTAACACCTCTAATCTTCTGGCGCTCATGTGACCTTATGCTCTTGTGAGCGCCGTAAAACCTCTACTAAAGCTGAAAACCAAAATCAGGACACAGGACAAAAAAACCAAAACCAAACTAAAACAAGTTTGTAATTGCGGGTTAGCAAGGTGACAACGTCAAAAACGGTTAATTAAGATTTGAAAAAAAAAAAAGCGAGAGGCGTGGTCCGTGTGAGTGGAGGTAGATGAGGAAATATTACAGTTTATTACAGAGCCGCTCGGTACAGCAGTCATCGTGTGCCCACCATTTCTCTGAGTTTCTAATTTTGTTTCGGCTGGTCGTGTATAATTAGAATAGTACCTGTACTAATAATTATAACAATATTAATTTAAAAGTATCAAAAATATAGAAAAACTGTACAGTATAATAATAATAATAATTTTTGGAAAATAGTAAAAATGACAATAATAAAAGTAACAATAATAGTAAAAATAACAAACTTTCAAAAGAATAAGAATAACAACTGTCCACAATATTCATAACAATGGTCAGAAAACAAACAAACAATAAAAATGGTAATGATGATAATAATTTTTAAAATACGGTATAAATAATAATAACGAAATAAAGAACAATATTACTAATAATTATAAAATATTTTTAAAAATAAAAATAAATAATAATAAGAAAATAATAGAAAAAAAAGATGTACTGGTTATAACAAAATAATTATAATTATTATAATAAAATTATTAACACGATAGAAAAAAATGGTAATATCAATAACAATTTTTAATAATAGTAATAAAAACAATCATAAAAATAATAATATAAATAACAGTAATAATAATAACTCTAATAATAATTTTAGAAAAAAAAGTGAAATGAATATAGTAATGATGATGATAAAAAAATAACAATAAAGAATAATAATAATAAAAATAGTTTTGAATAATAAAACTAGTAATGCAATAATTATAATTTAAAGAAAAAAGTTATAAAAAAATGATTATAGTTATTATGATGATAGTAACAAAAGTAATACAGATCTAGATAATACTTTTTAAAATAGAAATAGTTTTAAAAAGTATAACGATCATAGTAGCAATGGTAATAATAATAATAAAAAAGGAACATAATAATACTACTAAACTACTACTACTACTACTACTACTAACTACTACTACTACTACCACTACCACTACCACTACCACTACCACCACTACCACCACCACTACCACTACCTCTACTACCACTACCTCTACTACCACTACCACTACTACCACTACCACTACTATCACTACTACTACTACTACTACTACTACTAATAATAATAATAATAATAATAATAATAATATAAAAAACATTTAGGGAAAAAAATCATTAAAAAAGTAACAGATTATAATAATAATAGTAACAATAATAACAGGAAAATATAATAATAATAAAAACAATAATAATAATGATGATAATGATAGTTATAATAAGGATAAGAATAATATATAACAATGATAGTAATAATAATGATAATAATAATGACAGTAATAATAATAACATAACAAAAATAATAACAAAATATTCAACAATATTACTAATAAAATATTTTTTAAAATAATAATAGAAAAGGTAAGATATAATAATAATAATAATAATAATAATATAATAATAATAATAATAATATTAATACAATAATTTTTAAAAATATCAATAAGAATTCTAAATAATAGAAATAATTTGAAAAGTCATAAAAATAATAAAATAAATAACAATAATAATAACACTAATAGATTTGATAATTTTAAGGAAAAAAGAAATAACTATAAAATTTTTATTTTTTTAGGTTTCATTTTTTAAAAATGTAAGAGTAATTATTATGATACAAACATTAACAGTGAATAATAATAATAATAATAATAGTTTTGAATAATGAATATGATAATAATAGTAATAGTAGCGAAAGTAATATAGAAATATTTTTTAAAAACATAATGATTATAGTAGCAATTGTAATACAGTGGAATCCTGATATAACGAGAGGGAGGGGACCGGAGCAAAATGTCCGTTATAGCAGGATTCTCGCTATAAGGGATTCAGTAATAAATTCAAGGGAAACTGTAAAATAGGTCTAATCTATGAGTTTGGTGTTTAGTTTATTTCCTTTTGCTATCTCCCCTGATGATGATTTTGTTTCAACATGACCTCTAGGTCTTATTTGATCAAAAATCGAATCAGGTTTCTTTCTCTAGCGTTAGATCTAGCAATGTGGACTGATAGCTCGGTGCTGGCCATCAGAAAGAAAAGGCTCTGGGCTAACTCGCCCGCTGTGTTTTCCCCCACCCCACTCCACCCTGTGGTGCATTCTGTCTGCTTGCGCACATCACACATTCGCTCCATCCATCACATTGCTGTGACCTCTCCATCCCCGCATCGGAGAAGTGAGAGGCATGGTAGTGGTAGGCTAGGCCTTGATAATCTAAACTAGGCTTACGCTGGCCTATTACGCGATGCGTTCTGCGTGTCTGCGCATTCCACACCCTCCCTACTCAGTTGCTCCGGCCTTCATTGTTGACGCACATGGGCTCTCCTATCCTCTAATTCGCAAGATTACCAACAAGTTTCTCAACTGGCGAGGTTTTGCATTTATGTATAATTGGCCTATGCGCTGTGCACAGCAGCAGCAATATTCCGCTATAACCGACTCGGGTGTTTGTCTGATTGCGCTATAGCAGTATTTTATTTACAAAGGTAAAGAGGAGAAAAAAACGGGGCTTGAGAATAGTGTCTTTATAACAGACTTCTCGTTTTTTCCGGACTCGTTATAAGTGGACTCAACTGTAATACAAAAATAATAAATAGGAAAAGAAAGTAATAATAATAATTTAATACTTCTTATACTACTACTACTACTACTACTAATATTTAAAAACCTTTAGGAAAAAAATATCAATGACTGATTATAATAATAATAATAATAACATTAACAATAATAATAAAATATAATA